GTCCAAAATACTACAGCTTCCTCTTCTTAATGGCCTTCGTTATCTCCAACTTCTTATACATTCCACGAAGAACCGCAACATTTGTTATTCTCATAGTCCAGGATATTCGGAGCATACGTCTGTATACCCACATTTCAATTGCTTCAAGTTTTGAACATAATGTCGAGGTTAAGGTCCAACTTTCTACCCCATAACGTAGGACACTGAATACATATCAGCGCACCAGTTTCATGCGGAGTTTAAGGTTAAAAAAGGTTACAACAAAATAACTTTTTTAGCTTCATAAAGACACTACGGGCTTTTCTCTATTTTTGAATTTCCTGTTCGCTATTTCATTTCTCGTTTATGTAGCTTCCTAGATATTTCAAATTAATTATTGCGCACGGTGAGCGCCAACCATTTTAATGCGCTCCCCCCGAAGAGTACGCAAACTTGGGAACTGGACCGTAGTCCACAGCAAAATAACTGGCGAACCAGTAAAAGAGGACTTGGCCCCTTGATAGTGCGTAAGCACAAACATCGACCGAAGTCGCGCATGTCAATGCGTGTAAACGCCATACAGAATACGATCAAATCCAGCCACAGTGAAATGTACGTCACACGGGTTAGGCAACAATTGGCACACTGACCATAAAAAGCCCTCCGTGAGCGCCACCACCTGCCAGACCGCCGTTTCTGCAGACGTGATGTAAGTGTAAGGCATCACCACCAATTGCATGGTCAGCACGGCCAATTGGCCGCAGCGCGTGTCATGAGTCTACCGCTCACCTCAAGGGAATGGGGTCCCACGTTGCGCGGCTTTCGGCCGCAGCCTTGAGAGCCTCCTCAGATTCTCCCTCCAGCTACCACCCGCATGAGGTCAACACATATGCTCCACTAACCAACACAATGATAGATATAGCCAATAGGCAGTTATAAGATAATATTAATAATTCGCCATCAGAAAGGGTTTGTGTCACTGACGTTGATTATATGCATTTTTCGATCATGTTTGTCTCACCCACCAACAAGTTGCCTTCAATCTCTCAAAGGTGGGAACTTTATAGAGATATATTATTAAGTTGTTATATAAAACATCATGGAGGGCAGACAGTCTGTAGCCCCGCAATGAAGGGACCCGACTTGGGCAAAGCTACTTAGGTTGTGAGTCAAACCAAGACGCAGAGAGCGCCATTGAGAATAGCGACCCGCCAAACAACCATCGTAGAGACGCAATGCTACAGAATGCAACAAGCATCAATACGACTATCGTCGGGCTTACACCATCCCAAGGTCCCCCATACAGTCCCAGCAGACATCACCACCCTCATACCTCCATCGACCAGAACCACAAGATGTGTCGAATCAGGTGCAGCACACCCGCAGATCCATCACAAGACACAATACTGCAAGTAGCAGTAAGCATCAATGCAACTATCATACGGATGGCGCCCCCTCACAACACACCCACATGATCCCTATCGACTTTGGTAACAAAATTCATAATGTTGTTAACTAAAAATACCACCAACGTATCATAGTAGCACGGTACTAAGACGTCAGTAGCCAAAACTCCACGTATCATAGCGCTATTGCACTAAGACATGAAGTTGAGTATGCTTGCTGCACTTAAAAGTACTACCAAACACACTCACCCTAATCCGAAAGATATCCGACGTATCATAACGCTAAGCGCTAAGACGCCGCCCACAACCGGTAGGGGTGTGTGATGTCCACGGGCAAGTCGTATTGCTACAACAAACCCGCTTACCACCGGCACTAGGATGATATGTCTAGGACACATCGGTTAGTGAGTCCAAGTTTACCTTGGTCTCAGAGGCTGCGAAGCAACCTACACGCCACTATAATAATCCTTTTCGAGTCCCATTTCTTTTAATATAATGCTTTTACATATTTGAGACCTTCCACATATTTGCTTTATTTCATAGACCATACTACTGTATGTCTTATTCATATGGGACTTCAAGTCATAACTCTGCTATCATAATGCTTATGCATCATAGAGACCTTCTATATTAATGCTTTGGTTCGTCAGACCTTACTATGTTAAGTCCCTAATATAGGACTAGTCATTATGCAACCTTAGTACTAGCAGTCGGTCAGCCGACCACCCCATATATATGTACAACCTTGGGTATGTGTCTCCGACAACGCCCCAATATAAGGGAACATTACAAGAACACGTTCATTAACTTAGAAATTTTCCAATTATTACACAAACACCTCAACATCAACTTAGAAAATTTTAATCCATTTTTTCTACGAGTATTATATTCCAAATGTTATTTATCTTTTCTTCTTATATAATGTTTTCTTGTATAATGAATTTAATTATTATTTATTCATAATAATTATGAGCTGATGTCACTGATGTACTTTCGTGAACAGCGCTTCGATATGACAACAAAAACGGTTGTATGTGCCTGTCCCAGTCTCTTTGCCGTTTTTCCACAACTTTTGCTAGGTACTTCTCCAATGTCTGATTAAATCTTTCTACCATTCCATCTGATTGTGGGTGGTAAGAAGTTGTTCGTGTTTTCTGAGTACCCATAACTCGGCAAGTTTCCTTTAATCCATTTTTTCTATTATATTACAAATGTTATTTATCTTTGTTATTGCAATATAATCGCCTTGTATTTATATGATTTGATACATTTTGAACATTTTAAGCAGGTTTTTAATAAATTTAGAGATTTTTAGAGGCATTTTATGCGTTTACTAATATTATAATATTCAATATTCCAAATGGATATTTTTGAACTTTATGCTTATTATTTGCATTTTATTGTTTAAATTATAATTTCTAAGACATTTTTAAATATCTTTATAATGAATATAATTATTATTTATTAATATTAATTAGGAGGCGTCACAATCCACCCCCAAATTTTATGTTAATGATCTACATAGTGGAGTCGTTAATATAAAATTTTAGTATTTTGAGAGCATATACACTACACTCAAATAATGGTTTATATATCTGTTTTTTCCTCTTTTAATCTGTTACAATACGGCATATGTTATCAAATCCCCCTGCCCCAGAGAATGGCCGCCACCAACACCCCTTCAACCAAAATTATCACAATGTGATAACACCATAATTCAAGTAATTATATATCGTGTTGTTAATATAGTTTGCAGTCAATTGTCGATTTTATATTTTATTTTATTAATTTATCTTTAAATCTTTGAAACATAATTTCGATAGTGTCACACTCTATGTGTATACAATCCAGTTGGATATTTGTTGAGGTCAGTTCGATACCACATAGGATAAATGTGATTGAGCCATTCACCCTGACCCAACTCCCATATTTATTTAATAAAATTGATTACAAAATTATCTTACGATCTATATTTACAACTCTTCATTGTATATTAATAACGTTCTACTATCATATAACAAATCTCTTGCTCATAACTTTAATAATTTTTGACCTTTAACTTAAACAATTATTTCCATGGGCCACCCCCTTTTATGTTACAATATTTATTTAATTACTCTAATTTATACAAAAAGAAATTATTATTTAAAAAATATTTTAATAAGTGAATAGCATTGAAAATTCCTCTAATTTCGTTTGTCTCTGGATTTGCTAAGGTATATACATTGTCAAATGGTACGGCTGCTATTACATAAGGTCCTTCATATGCCAAATTGAACTTACTCATAACTTTATTATCAGCGTCTGATCTACCAGATCTTGAAATTTTTACTAAGTCACCAATATTATATTTGATTAATCTATTTCGCGAATCAAATTTTGTGTTTCTTATTCGACTTGCCTCTTTTAAATTTTTACGCACTTGTTGTCTAATTTGTTCGACATTATGTTTATCTTTACTTTTGGAAATTACTTTGTCAAAAGACATCTCATTAGACTCACCATAAAGGATCTCACAAAGCGTGAAGCCTGTACTATTGTGATAAGAATTATTATACAATTCTTTAATTTCGGCAATATTAACGCCCAATCTTTGTGGTTAGTATGACAAAGCGTCCTAAATAATCTGCTCAACCCTTTATTTACTCGCTCTGTTGTATTTGGTCTAGGATTTCTAACTGTGCTATATATTGGCTTTATATTTAATTCACTCATTGATTGTTTCCAGTGATTACTTACGAACTGTTTTCCATTATCTGTCATTATTGCCTTGGGCTTTATAATCTCAACAAAATGCTTTACTTTTGTTACAACAGACTTTGCTGTTGACTGTTTTAAAGGATATAATTTGATAAATTTACTGAATGAATCTTAAATGACAAATATGAAAGTGTACCCAAAGGTACCTGATACAAGTGGTCCATATATGTCTGCCATGACTATATCGCCAATGTTTTCTGTTATTATAGATTTGCAGGGACCTACATATGTTATATTGCTTTTCTTAGATAACTAAAATAAATGACAAGCCCTTAATTGGTTTTTAATATCTTTTGTTAAACCTTTCCAAAAGAATCTGTCTCTCACATATTTAATTACCTTATAGGGTCCTTGATGACCCATTTCGACATGCACTTGATTTATAATATCTTGTCTCAATGCTTTAGGTAAATATATTACTTCTTGTAAATTCGTTTTATAATATAATACATCATTTTTCAAACTATACCTTTTAAATTTATTGTTTTGTTTTATTATGGAAGTATTTAATGTCTTTAACTTTTCAATAATAGCCAACGACTCTGAATCTTGTAATTGATATACTGATAAGGATTTTAATTTTTCTATCAACTCAATATTCGGTTCGCTCTCTGTGTAAGCAATTTCTAAACTATTATTTTTATCCTCTTGTATTAAATCGCCATCAGGAGGATAACGTGATAGCACATCTGCAACAATATTACGTCTACCCGATATATGCTGTACTTCAAAATTAAATTGTTCTATATACAAAATCCATCGGGTTACTCTACCATTGAATAACTTCATATTATTAATAAACAATAATGCTTTATGATCAGTTAGTATTATTACTTTACTGCCCCTCAAATACGTTTAAAATTTCTTTAGGCAGCTTATTACAGCATAAAACTCTTGTTCAGCAACAGACCAATTTAATTCGGGGCCTTTTAAGGCTTTACTATGATAGCCTAAAATTCTCATTTCATTATTATCATCTATCTGATATAGTACTCCGGCCATACCCACACCGGAACAATCTGTTTGTAAATAATACGGCTTATTAAAGTCTGGATGATGCAATTGTATTGTATTAATAAATTGTTGTTTTATAAAATCAAATGCCTTCTGTTCTTTACCGCTCCATTGGAACTTTCGTCCCTTTTTAAGTAATTCACAGAGCGGTATTATGTTCTCGCTGTAATTTGGTATAAACCTTCTATAAAAATTGCATAGACCTAAAAAGGCCCTTAATTGTTTAATCTTTTTAGGTGCTGGAAACTCTTGGATCGCTCGAATCTTATCGGGATCTGTCTTTATGCCTTCTGTTGAAATTATAAAACCCAGAATTTTAATTTCTTTACAAATAAATTTACATTTCTGCAAGTTACACGTTAAGCCAGCTTTGTTCAATTTACTTAAAACAATATCAATGTGCTCCAAATGTTTATCTAACGTTCCTGTTGTAATAATGGCTAGATCATCTAAATAGTTCACACAAAATTCTTGGACTTCTGGTCCTAATATTAAATTCATGGCTCTGCTAAAGCTTCCTACTGATGTTTTTAATCCTTGCGGCAAAACATTAAATACATATGACTTTCCACTGAATGTGAATCCAGTATATTTTCTACCATCTTTATTTATCGGAATTTGAAAATATGCATTATTTAAGTCAATGGTAGTGATATAATTCGCTCCGTGAAATGAATTCAAAACATCTAATTGTATAGGTGGTTTCTATGTTTCTGTAACCATTTTCTTATTTATGCTTCTGGCATCAAGCAGAACTCTAATTGAGCCGTTTTTTTTTAAGAGTGAATGTCAACGGACAACTGTAAGGCGTTGATGTCCTTGTGATGATACCAGCTTGTTCCATTTCATTTAACTTTTCTTCTATTTTCGCTCTATATGCATATGGAATGGGATAGGACCTAGTAACTATAGGTTCATTATCGATCATTTCAATTTTATGCTCATAGCAATTGGCTCTTCCCAATTTGCTCGAAAACATATTCTTATGCTTTTCCAAAACCTTACTAAGTTTTGCCCTTTCAGAGACCTCCAATGTAGATCCTATTTTTATATTTATTAAGGGATCATCGGTACATTGTTTGATGCAGTTATTATGTAATACAGATTTATTATTATATTTGAAAGGTTAAAAGTAGTCTTTGTTTTTCACTTTAAATTCTATTCCAACAGTAGTATTTCTCAAATCAATCAATATTTTATTTCTCTTTGAGCCAGTCAAAGCCTAATATTAAAGGTCTTATTAAATTACCTACAATTAAAGTTTGTGTTTCAAAGACTACTTCTTCTATCTTTATAGGCAATATGATCATCTGTTGTATTTTTGTGCTGCGCTGCCCAACAGCACCTTTTATTTGCATTGCTTTAACTGACATTATTGATATTTTACGATTATTATCTTTAATTTGTAAATATAAGCTTTCTGAAATGCATGTAACATCGCTCCTAGTGTCGAGGAGCGCGTCTATTTCTTTGTCAAATATTGAAACTTTAATTTCAGATCTCATATTCCCTATAAATTCCCTTTGATATTTATCTTCGTCTTCCTCGAAGACGGTTTGCACGAATAACTCCGTTATGGGCAAGTCTGAACTGGCTTTTAAGATGTTTAATATGCTATTTACATTGTCGTTATAACCAATGCCTACTCTGTTAAAATTTGCTTTTAAAGTAATAGGTTTTCGCAACCCTCTATTGTTTTTACCCAATGTTTGACCAGGTTGCCAACCCAAGCTTTACATTGTAAGGGGTCGAATCGGGAACTAGTTTGACCTCTACAGCTCTAAATTTGGCTCAGGGGCCGTAACATCAGGTTGGTCATTAGTGAAATGTATTTCATGTACTTTATTAACCTTCTTTTTTCCCTCTTCGGTTTTACGCCATTATTTGTATGATTGTTGTATTTCTTTATGTTTTTGCTCCGTATTATTATTAAACTTCCTCCTTTTCTCATTATAGTAAGGTTCACGACCTTCATCTTGTTTGTCGATGTCATCTAAGTTTCTTAAGAAATCTGTCGTGTCTATTATTGTCTCAATTTTATATTCTCCATAATTGCTGCACAGTTTTAGGATAATGTCTGATGACATCAGTTACTAATTTTTTTTCAGGTATCGGATATGATAATGTTTGTGCCTTCTCAATCACACAAAGAAACTAACTAACCATGGTGGGGTGTGTACTTCTATTCCATTTATTTTGCACAAGGAATCTCTTTACTTTATTTTGTTCTTCTTCACCCCAAAACACCCTTAGGAAGTCAGCTTTAAAATCATCAAAAGTTGTCCAACGCACATTATTAATGCGAGCCCAATACTTGGCTTCACCTACTAAGCACTCTTGTGCAATCGAAATTTCGAGACCATTAGATGGAACTTTCTTTAAATAATTGGTGAGATCTTCCAAAAATGATACTGGATGAGTATTTCCATTTCCAAATTTCGGCTTTTCTATTGTTACATTATGTACATTGTATACAATATTTTGTCTAGGATCATTTACATGAGAGGTGCTCGCCCCGGACACCTCTCCTTGATTTATTTTAATTTGGTAATCTTTCGTTTGGTTAATAAATTTTTCCTCAAGATCCTTTTTTTTAACCTCAAAGGTTTTCACTGCATTCTTAATTAATTTCTGAAGCATTTTCATCTCATCTTTAGACTTAGCCTTAATTGAGGTTGATTTTTTCTTATTTTTAGCCATTTTTAATTTTTATTTCCACTTGTTTTTTTTTGTGTCCTTCACTTACTTTAATTGAGTTTTTCCACTTATTTCACTTTATAATATATATTATTGCAGTTCTATTTTTTTTTACACCTGTTGTGTCCTTCACTTAGTTTAATTGAGTCTTTCCACTTATTTCACTTTTTATTATTTCGCTCCGTTATGCACACACCTCCTATATTATTACTCAATTTTAATATTTAAGCCCCACCCCCAGACTCTCAACCACTCCCAGCAAACACCACTCTCCAAGACACCTCTATTTCACGGACAACAAATTGTAGGCATATAGCCTACCTCATAATTTTATATTACCGGCCTCCTATTCAAAATTTAACCTCTATCCTGGTCACGGCACCAAATTGTAACGAACCCCCCCCCATCTTTTTCTTTTCTACTATATATCCACTTATACTTGTATTTCTTTAGAATCTGTATCTGTAAGATATATAAATATATCTAATTTACGTGACCAGTATAACTTGATCTTTCTAAAGGTTTAAATATAGGCCGTTTAATAAATTTATGGCGTGATTGTCTTAGTTAGGACCCTTTTTTACGTTGTGTTTGTATAGTAACTTAGTTCTTTTAGGTGTATCTTGGAAGAATGAATATTCACGAGAGCAATCGAAAGCTGTTGGTAGAGTCTTATAAGCTAAAGAACCCCGTTCACGAAGACAGAGCTCAAAAAGTTTAAGAACAATAAATTGTCCCTATTCCACTTGTATCTGGTTCACAACAGTCAATTCCTTATTAATTAATCCCTTCCCGCTTGGAAAAGGCTCACAATATTTATATCAAATACCAGTTACAAGGGCTTCGCTCTCCCACATTTTAAAAAAATGTGGAGGAGGTACACGGCCCCACACACGCCGCGCACGGTGAGCGCCAACCATTTTAATGCGCTCCCCCCGAAGAGTACGCAAACTTGGGAACTGGACCGTAGTCCACAGCAAAATAACTGGCGAACCAGTAAAAGAGGACTTGGCCCCTTGATAGTGCGTAAGCACAAACATCGACCGAAGTCGCGCATGTCAATGCGTGTAAACGCCATACAGAATACGATCAAATCCAGCCACAGTGAAATGTACGTCACACGGGTTAGGTAACAATTGGCACACTGACCATAAAAAGCCCTCCGTGAGCGCCACCACCTGCCAGACCGCCGTTTCTGCAGACGTGATGTAAGTGTAAGGCATCACCACCAATTGCATGGTCAGCACGGCCAATTGGCCGCAGCGCGTGTCATGAGTCTACCGCTCACCTCAAGGGAATGGGGTCCCACGTTGCGCGGCTTTCGGCCGCAGCCTTGAGAGCCTCCTCAGATTCTCCCTCCAGCTACCACCCGCATGAGGTCAACACATATGCTCCACTAACCAACACAATGATAGATATAGCCAATAGGCAGTTATAAGATAATATTAATAATTTGCCATCAGAAAGGGTTTGTGTCACTGACGTTGATTATATGCATTTTTCGATCATGTTTGTCTCACCCACCAACAAGTTGCCTTCAATCTCTCAAAGGTGGGAACTTTATAGAGATATATTATTAAGTTGTTATATAAAACATCATGGAGGGCAGACAGTCTGCAGCCCCGCAATGAAGGGACCCGACTTGGGCAAAGCTACTTAGGTTGTGAGTCAAACCAAGACGCAGAGAGCGCCATTGAGAATAGCGACCCGCCAAACAACCATCGTAGAGACGCAATGCTACAGAATGCAACAAGCATCAATACGACTACCGTCGGGCTTACACCATCCCAAGGTCCCCCATACAGTCCCAGCAGACATCACCACCCTCATACCTCCATCGACCAGAACCACAAGATGTGTCGAATCAGGTGCAGCACACCCGCAGATCCATAACAAGACACAAGTAAGCATCAATGCAACTATCATATGGATGGCGCCCCCTCACAACACACCCACATGATCCCTATCGACTTTGGTAACAAAATTCATAATGTTGTTAACTAAAAATACCACCAACGTATCATAGTAGCACGGTACTAAGACGTCAGTAGCCAAAACTCCACGTATCATAGCGCTATTGCACTAAGACATGAAGTTGAGTATGCTTGCTGCACTTAAAAGTACTACCAAACACACTCACCCTAATCCGAAAGATAGCCGACGTATCATAACGCTATGCGCTAAGACGCCGCCCACAACCGGTAGAGGTGTGCGATGTCCACGGGCAAGTCGTATTGCTACAACAAACCCGTTTACCACCGGCACTAAGATGATATGTCTAGGACACATCGGTTAGTGAGTCCAAGTTTACCTCGGTCTCAGAGGCTGCGAAGCAACCTACACGCCACTATAATAATCCTTTTCAAGTCCCATTTCTTTCAATATAATGCTTTTACATATTTGAGACCTTCCACATATTTGCTTTATTTCATAGACCATACTACTGTATGTCTTATTCATATGAAACTTCAAGTCATAACTCTGCTATCATAATGCTTATGCATCATAGAGACCTTCTATATTAATGCTTTGGTTCGTCAGACCTTACTATGTTAAGTCCCTAATATAGGACTAGTCATTATGTAACCTTAGTACTAGCAGTCGGTCAGCCGACCACCCCATATATATGTACAACCTTGGGTATGTGTCTCCGACAACGCTCCAGTATAAGGGAACATTACAGGAACACGTTCATTAACTTAGAAATTTTCCAATTATTACACAAACACCTTCATCAACTTAGAAAATTTTAATCCATTTTTTCTACGAGTATTATATTCCAAATGTTATTTATCTTTTTATTG